CCCCGCCCCCTCCTCTCTCCCTCCCTCCTCGAGTAATCTCTCTCTCTCTCTCTCTCTCTCCAATTCCAATATCTTCAACAATCAACATGACCGTGTTAAATTCACATTTCTGTTTTTTCCGTCCGTGTTAGGGTTTTCAAGCATTGCGTCGAAGAGGTTGACTTGAGAGGCGAAAACTCCGTGGATGCTGAGTGGATGGCTTATTTGGGAGCTTTCCGCCACTTGCGCTGCTTGAACCTCGCCGATTGTCATCGAATCAACTCTTCAGCTCTTTGGCCTATTACAGGTATCTTCGTTCTTACTCTAACCCTAAACTTCACCTATTCTTGCCGTTACTGTTTGCGAGATCGCTCATTGCGTGGCGCTTAATTGATTTTAGGAATGACGAGCCTTCAAGAGTTGGACCTATCCAGATGCTTCAAGGTCAACGATGCTGGAATTAACCATATTCTTTCCATTCCTAATATGGAGAAGCTACGCATTTCGGAAACAAGCGTCACTGCCAAAGGTGTCAAGCTTCTCGCCTCTCTTAAACACTTGTCTCTTCTTGACTTGGGTGGTTTGCCCGTAGATGACGTGGCATTAACTTCGTTGCAGGTATTTTATTTTTCCTTTCGTGCTAGTGTATTTGATAATAAATGCGATACCAACTGTTCCTACCGTAAGTCCGGACTTACGGTAGGAACACCAACCAAAGCCATCTACTCCATCAATTTATGATAGAATTATAGTATTTTTTAACAGAGATGAAGATATTTGGCGCTTCATCTTATTCTTGTAGTTGTATAATTTTTATGAAACTTGTTGTGCTGCTAGATGAATATGATAACTAGCCATACTTCAACGGGTGGTTTGTTTAGATACATTTGCCACAGAAGTTTCTTAGAAGCCGTAATTGTGTCAACTCTTACGCTACTATTATTAATGGATCCAAACCTTTTTTTAATTGGGTTTATACTTCACGTAAGATATTGTATGCTACACGATTGATTCTTATTTCTAATAATCCCTCTATTTCAAAACTTTGGTTCTTTTAGTTTTTTACAAGCAGACTGAGAACATTTTAATGCACATCATTGATCATATTTCTGCATCTAAATTTGTGTTAACATTTTCGCAAAATCATTATTTATTGCTTTCTATTATTGCTGATTGGTTATGGTTTTGTATTTAATTGGGGTTCAGTTTAGCACTGTTTTCCAATGTTTTGGCTTTGGGCTGTAGTGACCTGCTGTATGCAGCAGCTCATTTCACCGCAGATGCATGGGAACTCACTTTTCTCAAATGAGTGGCTCAAATTCTCTTTTAGATATTATTGTATGTTTCAGCTAAGGACCCAATGTATTGCATTTTAGAGTGTGGGTGTGTGAATGTGTGTGTTTTTTATGAATCTGTGTTCTGTTCTTAAGTCATAAAAATGTCTATATATTTTTTGTTTTTGATATTCATTACTGTTTCCCTTTAAACACCCTTCTCCTAGGTACTGAAAATGATGCAATATATTGATCTTTGGGGTAGTAAAATATCAAATGAAGGTGCTGCTGTTCTCAATACGTTTCCAAAGTTGAGCTATCTTAATCTTGCTTGGACCAGTGTCACAAAATTGCCTAAATTATCATCTCTTGAATGCCTGAACATGAGTAATTGTACTATTGATTCTATACTTGAAGATTATAAAGCTCCTTTGGCAAAGCTCATATTCTCTGGGGCTACATTCGTGAATGAAGCTGAAACCTTGTTATATGCAAATACAAATTTTCTATCCTTTTTGGATGTAGCCCATTCCAGCCTTAGCAGATTCTTCTTCTTAAGTAAAATGAAAGTAATAGAGCATCTCAATCTCACCTCATGCATGATGGGGGATGATTCAGTTGACATGGTTGCTTGCGCTGGTGGAAACTTGAAAAGTTTGAATCTGAGTGGTACCAGGGTTAGTTCTGTTGGAATAGGAATTTTAGCTGGACACGTTCCCAATCTTGAAATTCTGTCATTATCTCAGACAGCAGTAGATGACACTGCCATCTTATTTATTAGTATGATGCCTTCATTAAAGGATCTTGACTTGAGCAATACAAACATTAAAGGTATTTAATTACTTGACATAGTTGTTACTATTGTTATTTACAAATTCATGTGTAATACCTGTGGTGGCAGATATAAGCTCTACGCTGGTTAAATCCTACTATCTCTGCAGCGCAGTGTTGAGCCCTTTTACTTTACCACTGAGCTGCTCCTCACTAGGAAACTTTTATGCTAGACTGCATCAAAACCTTTCTGTGTTAATGTATATACAACATTCATTTCCTTTTTTGCATTTTTGGTGAAGAACAATAGGATGTATGAGGCTAAAGATTCTATGTTCTTCTGTTTGAGTATTTTATTTATTTGCTAACCCTGAAGTTGATTTGAAACCCTACCAAGAGTAAATCTTATCTTTAATTAAGCCAGATATTCAACTTACCCTGTTTGTCCCACATCAATGTCAGGGACAAAAGATCACTTTCCAATAGTCTTTTGTTCAAGTTACCTTGTGGAATCAAGGGACTTCTTTGAATGTCTGTACAATAGATTTAAATAGCCGTTTTCTGTTCTAGAAATCAAGGATTGTATATTAATAAGGGGCCATTTTGTTTGAGAAAACATATTTTTGTTTTCACTTTTAATTACAAAAAATGTCACCTTTTCTTCACTTTATTTCCAGTTTTCAAAAGTTTGTGCAGGAAACCGTGAATACAAAAAATGTAAACAGAAAAGAATAGTAGTTGTTTTCACAATTTTCTATTCAAACCTTTGAAAACAAAAAAAAAAAATGCAAATAAGGTGATATTTTTATAATTCAAAGTGAAACAACATCAAAACAAAAAACATTTTCTCAAATCAAATGATCCCTAGGAGTCCGTCACATTAGCAACAAGATGAATTTCATATTAAGAAAATTTAATGGTTGATTTGTGCTGAATGATATGTACTGTATATTCTAATGTCATGCTGAGGCATGGAATATTTATTGAACTGTAAATGGAGTGTAGTACTGGTTAGAGATTTGACAAAAATTGTTGTATAAATAAAACCTTATAATTTGCTAGTACTACTCCCCAGGACCACCATTTGGAGGCTGAAGAACGTCCAATTAGGGCCTATTTGGTTTGATTTGGGGAAATGTTTTCTATTTTCACATATATACTTACTAAAATGCCACCTAGTTTTTGCTATATTTCTTGTTTTCAAAGATTTGTACAATAAACAATGTAAACAACAGCATATTGTTTTTCTTTATTTCCTATACAAATATTTTAAAACAGGAAATAAAATGAAATTAATGTGACATGCAATTACTAAATGCCACGTTGTTTTCACTATATCTCTTGTATTCAAAGATCTGTACAATAAACATTGAAAACAACAGAAGATTGTTGTTATTTCCTATACTAATATTTTAGAACATGTGTGACATTTTTGCAACTGTTTGTGAAAACAGAAACTGAAAGCAAAAAAAAAATAAAAAAACATTTTCTTAAACTGAAAATTCCGTTAATTTCTCAAATAAAAGATGCCAGTATTCTCATCTTTGTTTACTGAATTCTAACACTTTATTTTTACTGATTAAGCATTTAATTAAATGTTATAGTGGATTATCTAAATTTAACATACCATATAACTGCATCTCTCTCATTTGTTTGTATTTCCATTTTCTGCTTCTAGTTTTAATATTTTGTCTTTAAGCTTCCTATCCGAATTTTGGACTCAGGTTTTCTGCACCAAGGAAGGACTGATGTGGACTCCCCACTCTCTCTAATGGCTCTGCAAAATCTTAAATTAGAAAGGTTGAATTTGGAGCATACACAAGTTAGGGATGAAGCTTTATACCCTTTGTCAAGCTTCCAGGAGCTGAGATATTTATCTCTTAAAAGTGCTTCACTTGCAGACGTGTCACTTTACTATTTATCATCAATTCCTAAATTGACAAATCTTAGTATTTGTGATGCGGTATTGACAAATTATGGGCTTGATATGTTTAAGGCTCCTGAAACTCTGAAACTGCTGGACCTCAGAGGTTGTTGGCTCTTAACTGAAGACACTATCTTGTCGTTCTGTAGAAATCATCCACAAGTTGAAGTCAGCCATGAACTTGGTAGCGTATTTCCTTTTAACCAAAATGGACTTAATCATTCCACTCCATCTCGCTCAACTTCCAGGACTATGCAAATGGCTAAGAAGAAAGATCAGATTCCCGTCTCTCCATATTTTGTAGGTAATTGCTATTAACCTTCTAATCTTTAAGTTGCTAGTTTAATATGATTATCTAATTTTATTTTTTCATTATTTATACATAGACCAAAGATTGAAGTATAGCAGGGACGAGTTACTTGCATTTCAGTTTACGTCTTTGCCTCTTGCATCTAGTAGTGAAAGTGGCAGTTTAATATATGAGAAACAATTGGATTGAATTCAGAAATCTCCTTTCATATAATTGTTTGCACTCATGGGATTGGTAATTTTTATTTTCATTTATCCTGTTTTTCATAATCGTTGTCAATTTTACAGTATTACTTTGCTTAGACTTCATTTTAGTGATATCCTCCTCCCATTTATGCTGGGTTATGTGCATTTGGTTGCTTTGTGCAGAGAAGGGCATGTGATATGAACAGAGATGGCTTCATGATTAATAGCTCAAGACGATCACGAGGTGAAAGCTAAATCATGTTTTTGATAGGGAAACCAAATGTGATGCTGTGCCTTGGCTCCAAGCCTCCAACTTAGTATGGCTTAAATAAAGGCTAAGACATACAGCGAGATATCTATGATGGCGAAAATCTTGGCCCTTGAAGAAGGCATGCATTATTGAATAAAGGTTAATGGCATGTCTCCATAAAATTGGGGGGAGATGCTAAAATGACCTCAAATAGGCCTCTGTTGCTGTTGCAATTGAACAACATGAAATAAAGGGTAGGGTATTTGATATGAGAACTAATGTCCAAGCTCAACACAACCACCTTAATCGAATACTATTAAGTTTGGTTAATTTCAAGGCTCAAGGTTCAACTGATTATAAGATTGCAGGTTCCATTGAGTGTAGGCTACGAGCAATGACTCCGAGACAAAGGAATGAAGAAATAGTGGGATGCAGAGCGAATCAAACTCAGTGAAGATACTTGATACTTTGTTGTTCTATGCACCAATGGCAGGATAGTAAAGGGACCAAGCTAGCTCCATCCAATCAAGAATACAAAATCTTGGAGTTTCCGTCTAGGTTTTATGTCACAGAAAGATGGAAAGGATGGTGACGATGCTTCGAAGGACATCCTAAAGTGACTCGAAGAGATAAGGACAAAGAAAGCTTTAAGCATGGCTCATGCAAAGAGAATATCGAGCTAGGGTTTTAAATCCCTCTTTGGTCTTTTGAAACTACCAATTCTAAAATAGAAGGATTTGTTGTAATTTCTATTTTTATTTAAATTATTTTGAATCGCAAAAATATTCCTGGGAAACATTAAAATCTAACATTTTGTTTCAAGTATATCCGGGAATATTGGAATAACATTTCAAATGATAATATTCCTAAGAATCTAATCTTTGGAAATACAAAATATACTTTGATAAATCATAAATGGCTTTTTCAATAAAGATATTTTTACCTATAGATATATATTTTTTAAAATATTAAAATTAAATTTTAATCTAGAAATAAAGGATGAAAGTTGTTACCAGGCACTTTGTCTTTTGACTAAAGATTGAGGTTTGATACTTGAGTATGAAGTTGTAATCGGAATGCCTATATTTTTAAAGATAAGATTTTGTGAGAATAAATTATATCTTCTTATTAAATTAAGGAAGAATAAATTAAAAGAGATAAGATGTTTAAAAAATTGAAAAAATGACATTGTTGAAGATTTTTTCTAAAAATGTTTTTATTGAAAATTAATTCTTAAAAATGTTCTTATTTAAATATAATTATTTTAATTTGGGCAGAGAAAATTTATGTTCATAAGTATTTATTATAATAAAAATTAATTATAATATAATTTATATATTTAAAAATATTTATTTATTGTAAATTTTAATATAGTACATGTTAACACATTAATTGACATTAATTGATATGTTATGTTAGTTGATTTTATTCAATATATATCGAGTATTTATCTGTATTCTTGTTTATGGATTTTTGTTTTGATAGATAACATTTATTTGAATATTTTTAATGTTAATAAAAATAGTCTCTAGTTATTGATTAAATCCAATTCATTTTTTTAATAAATAATCCTATCAAAATTTTGAATCACATAAATATAGAGGTTTTATACTAATCCAATACTCTCTCATCAATGCTAGTCCCTTTTTCATATCACGAAATTTTTTCATTGCATTGTCTACTCACTTACAAGCATTCATTCATAAAACTTTCGGGCTTACAGCATCATCGACCCACACCCATTCACAACACACCATATTTAGAGTTAGGTACAGCACATACTCACAATCTTTCCACAAGTTCTCATTCGCACCACTATACTCCCTTATTCCCCGGACCCAACTGGTTAGCTTACCAGTTCAAACAAACAATAAAGCCAGCCTAATAATGAAAACTGATCATGGAATTGAAAAATTATTAAAACTTGGTTTATAGAAGCTCAACGAAATTTTTTAATACAATGTTATTTTAATTTTCTCTTAAAAATAAAATTAACTTAAAATATTTGTATTTTTATTATTATTTTAAATGTAAACTTGTTAGTTTAATATTATTTTATAAATTATTTAACTAATATCAATTCAATCATAGCTTAATCTTCAAACTTTAAATTAGTACTTTGATCAATTTAATAATCAGTCTAATTTTTAAAGTATTGCATTTTTTTTTATGACTTTCTTTCAACTCTTAATCTCAAATTTTCATATACACTTCCACTCGCATGACATTGTGTTTTTTAAATTAATTAACCCAACAAATCATTATAGCATACTTACGTATATTTTGATATTAATTTCATCTCTCTAGGTATACGACTTTTTTACTTTATTATTTATCTTTTTTTTTTTATAAGATTCTTTCTAGGGAAAAATATAGTAAAATGTCAGCAGAAATATACTTATGCTATATACATTTACCTCGTGTTTGACAATGACATGGATATAAATTTTGGAGATGCAAAATCAAACATGCATAATATGTAATGTATGAATATGATCAGACGAGCATCTCTCTCTCAAAATGGGATTCAAGTCAAAACCACAAGGGTATTTGGAATCCAAAATAATTGAATTGGGTCATATATTAAACATTTTAGTAAGTCATGTGGAAAGTGAAATCGGGTAGAAAATTTACTGTATTTAAAAGACTTGTTCTGCCAGCAACTTCAATACACCCTAGTATATAGTAAAACCTTTTGGTTTATCATAAAATTAATGGAAAATATCATACGTTTCTAAGAATAAAATTCTGAATTCATATTTAGTATTGTGAAATAATTGATGTTTAAATATTTTCCCGAGAAATGCCAAAGCTGATCTACTGGAGAAACTAACAAAACGAATGACATTTTCATGTCTTGTACCAAAAATGAAGAACTCAAAAGCACCCAAACATCTTTTGTACTGAAAATTAGCTCTATATTGTATCTAATGGGTCAAATATGGAAAATTTCCACATTGAAAATCTACTCAATATTGTATAAGAGAAGTAACTATTATTTATTGTCATGATGAAGCAACAATTCAATATTTTTTAATATAAATTGACCTTCCTGAACATATTTCCGTACCTTATGGTTGAATAACTATCCATGCATATTATTTTCCATCTAAAAATAATCATCTACAACTACACAGTCACCAAAAGAAAAAGACTAGAACAATCACATGTATAAAATAAATAATAAATTGTCTCCGAAATCAATATCTCAAGCTCTGGATTTGTTCTCTGTCTTTAGTGCGTTGTACATATTGTCAATTGTATTCTGTGGACAAAAAATTGCAGTCAATACTAAAACATAAACATTAATTAGTTTTGAAACCTATAGATTAGAAAGTTGTATAAATTTGTACTAAAATAGTAAAAGAAAAAACAGTTAAATGGGCAAAAAGGCTAGGCAATTAACAAATTAAAAGATGAATTGGAATAAAAAGAGATTTGTTCGGCAGCTACTCAGAGGCTAAACATTGAGTTCCTTATACCTATATAATGCATATGCATTAAGATTTAACTTATACCTACATAATGCATATGCATTAAGATGTAACTCCTTTAAATTGAAAACATGTAAATGAAAATATGAAATAAATAAGGTTTGCCCGCCTATGATTTGAGATAGAATATATCTACTAATCTTGTAACTCATTTCGAATCAAAGGGTGAATATTATTTACTTTCTTACTTTAAAGAGTCAAATTATAAAATATTTGCTAAATTAAAATTGAATGACTTTTATTTTATTTTTCTTTATTAAATAAATAATTCAAGTATTAATAGCGAAAAAACTTTATATTCTGCAATTTAATCACAATTTATATATAGTAAGTTTATTAACATCTATAACAACTATTTTGAAAGTCATATATTTATTATATATTTTTTTATTAACTAATAGTGTAAAATTATTTTACACTAATAGTACATATAAAAGTTAAACTATTGTTTATTTGTTGATAAGGATATTAAAATATTAACCAAGAAAAAAATAAAATTATCATCCATTCCATTCACAATTATCACCCATTTCTATTTATATGAAGCACAATTAAATCTTGAGTATTTGATGTTTTGTACCTGGTAGTATTTAAGCAATTCAGGTCTCTTCTTCTTAAATGTTGGAGTCATAAGGCCACGTTCCATGTCAAATGGAACTGGGTCAAGATGAACAGCTTTAATAAACTCAAAACCTTTTAACTGACAAACAAACAATAATTAGGATCCCATAAAGCTTAAGTAGATGTATATATATTAGCAGGCACATATATACAATCATATAAATTGCTTTTAGAATAATACTTCACACACAATTCGAATTTCAATCACTTTACAAAATAAATTTGATCCATCCAACTGTTCAATCGTAAGTAATTGTATTAATATATCAAGTCAAAAATTTAAAAAAATAAACAAACATGTATCTTTTGCTTGAAAAGCATATATTATATGTTAACTGCAAATAATTTTGGTATTGTGGGAAATTTCATATTAATGTTAAGTTTTATTAAAGAGATATGCTTGATAGAAACTTTCAAGCGTACTGTAATTTTTTTTAGAACATAAATTATATTTGTACTCTAAATTTATACAACTTTTCTTACAGTATGAGGGAGAAAGAAAAAAAAACAAAGAGAAAGAAATGTGTAGCAAGATAGATTATGTAGTAAAGAGAGAAAAGTATGCTTTAAAAATGTTATAGAAAAGACAAGAATGAATAATATAATTATTCTAAGAAATTCTAAAATTTATCAGGTTAATACAAAAGTTAGAGAATATCAATAGACCTTTTTCTCCTTTCCAATCTTGGAGAGCTCTCCAATTATGTAACTTTTTGTCCTAGAATCTTCACATAGAGAATTGAAATCCGCGGTTATACCATTTTCTTCTGCCCACTGATCAATTGCTTGTTTTCTAGGGTTAATAACAGCAATGAGGTATGACTCAAAACTGTTTCCGTAGATCCATATCTGAACATAGAGTAGGAAATCAAAACAATATTTGCCTTAAACTAAACTTTTGATTTCATTATTCATAAATTTGGATGTTAGAAAAATAACAATTTTTCCTAATGTTTGAAGGTGAATAAATAAATTCATTAAAAGAGAAGGGTTTACAATACATACAGATTCAATAACAGAAGCTTGAGCATAAATATTCTCCAAGTTTTCAACAGCAACATATTCTCCTTGTGAAAGCTTAAATATATTCTTCTTCCGATCAATAATTTTCATGCTTCCATTTTCCGATCAATAATTTTCATGGTTCCATTAGGTTGCCACTCTCCAATATCCCCTATTTAATTAGACCATTCATGAATAAAATGTAACAATGTAAAAATATATATAGTGTTTGTTTGAATATAAACTTAAAAATGTTTGAAGAATTTTTTGACAAAAAAATAAAGAATATATTTTAATAGAAAAACTTTAAAATATCCAAATAGATTGATAAATTACCTAAAGATGAACTGAAAAATGAAAAAATTAACCTGTGTGAAACCATCCATCAATCATAACCTCTTTGGTGAGGTCTTCACGTTTGTAGTAGCCTGAAAACACAGTACTTCCCTTCACACAAATTTCTCCTCTTGGTGTGCTAGCAAGAGCATCATATCCCATTTCCGGTATTGATTCGAGGCATACATCCACAAATGGTACAGGAGGCCCCACCGTTCCAAGCATGTCTGTTTGGTTTGGTAATGAAACAAATGTGCCCGCACAAGTTTCTGTCAAACCTATTTTCATTTGAACAAAAACGTGTTAATATGTCCATACTCTAATAACAACACATACACACAAAACATCTAATGCATCTTAAATACATATTTAAAAGTATTTGGCAATTGTCTTTCTTCTCTTATCTCA